GGCGAGTAGGATGATGCATCCTACTCGAGGCTACACCTCCCGCCTCCGGATCACCGGGGGTGAAAACTAGCAGAGACAGGTTAACTGGCTCTGGGGAACGGGGTGGCATCATGCCCGAGACCTTCGGACCGAGCGATATGTCTGGCAAATCCTCGTCTCACTCTAGCCCATCCGACACCGGGACGCGCGGTTGTGGCGGTACACACCTATGCGTCACCACAAATGAAGCAAGAGAGAAGAAAACTCGAGCGAGCGATCTGCTACTGGTGTCAGGGTTCATGTTATACCCGCAAGAGGCCAGAGACCACAATGTCCTGCGCCATGCTTTTCAAATTGAGTCTCCTTGAATGCCGTCATTCAAGGAGTTAGATCAAGTAGCCGGCATGACCACCGAACGAGATAGAATCCCATTAATCGATTGTAGGAGGATAAGTCCTCATAACTTTAGCACGAAAACTATATGTTCTGAGGAAGCGTTCTACACCGATGTCTTTCCAAACATCGGATGTACAATGGCAGCCGTGGCCGCGACGCGTTCGCACAACTTGATAACGAACTTTCGATTCGTTCTTTTCGTGTTGAGCTGACTGCAGCTCTTCAGGACATCGCTCAACTGCGCGAGCAGGTTTTTTCGCTTGTCGACCAGACTAATTTCGTTGTAACGGAATCACCCGAGGGTATTCGCGAGCCTTAAACGCGAAGAAATTCTTCGCCTCTCGAAACGGGCTTGTACTGATAGTACGGGCGGAGACGTCAAGCGTAAAAAGTAGGATGCGTACGCATCTTACGGGGAAGTTCAATCGTGTATGTGTTGCCCATTCGGTGCAACACAAGAAATGGACCGATGTATTTGGGCAGTAATTTACTGCTGACCACGTTTGTCACTGCGTGTTTCGGTAGGTTTACTGTAGACAGTAAAACTAGGTCTCCTTCATCAAATGAAAGAACACTTGCTCTTCCACTGCTGTCTACTTTTCTTTTCTGTTTATCGATTGCGTCTACAATAGTGGCTTGGAAGAAGTGGGAACCCACTTCGCGAGTCAGCTGAATGTCCTCTACCGATTAATCCTTGTTAACAGCTGTGCGCTTGGTGCTCACTGCTGATAGGAACGATGTCTTCACCAGTGAGGGTGTCATCGTCCTCACTTTAGCAGTCGTTGGAGATGCTGACTATACCAGCATCGTCGTCATCATCATCATCGATGTCGATCGCATCGACATCGGCATCCATCACGTCGACACCATTGTCGACGGGTGATGAGCAAGAACCAGATCGGTTGTTGATCAGCGAGTCTACCCCCCCCAAAAAATAGAGTCACAGTCTAGGTGAGCGGGTAAACGTGGATGGCGTAGGCCAGTCACGAAGAACGGTTTATGCGTTGTCGGCGCGTGCACCTAGTAGTTGATGGTGAATTCCGCTATGGGTAAGAACGCACTCAAACTCGTAAACGAGTGAACATACCCTCGAAGTATCTCTTCGATAACGCGGTTGACGTGTTCCACCTGGCCATCTGTTTTTGGATGGTCAGAAGTCGACATCTTTAACCGTGTTCTAAGTGACCGGAACACGGATTGACAGGACTCCGCCGTAAAGCGGGGGTCCCTATCAGACACGAGTTCACGGGGCGACCCGTGAAGTCGGAAGATAGTATCGATGAAGACACGCGCACAGCCTTGGGCCGCGATTGACTCCAGCACAGCAACAAGATGTGTCATCGTGCTGAACCGATCAGCGAACACAAGAATACCAGTATTCTTGTGAGCGTCTTCGAGAAACCCTATGAAGAAGTCCATCGATACGGACTGCGAGCACTCTGCCGGAACAGGTAGAGGCTGCAAGGGTGCGCATGATGAAGGACTAAGCTTCACACGTTTACAAACTTCGCAAGTGCGAATGTATTTGCGCTCAAACTCATACTGGTGAGGCCAGTAGAAGTCAGGAATACCATGAGGTTAGCCTTTTCTCTACCGCGGTGCCCACTTGATAAGGCATCGTGACACTCATGATGCGGAATCGCAAATCATTATGAGCGGAAACGACGACACAAGCTGCGTCTCCTTTGACTGCTGTATAGTACAGCAGTACATCACGAACCAGATACCGTTCGGCTGAAAAGCGGTATTGAGACGTCAAGCTTTTCAAAGCTTGACTGCATGGTATAGGTATGTCATCCATCAATAGCAGTAGAGACTCATCTTCTGCGTATGCATTCCGCATTTCGTCAAGCAACCTCGACGACGAAACACTTACTATTAGTGTCGCGACAGTGGGATCACCCCTACTGTTGGGTGGGCAGTCGGCTTAAAATCGGTCCGACGCTAAAGAGCATCAGCGACGACATTCAGTCGTCCTGGTTTATACTTGAAAGAGATGTTGTACTCCGCGAAGAAAGACAGCCACCTCGCCATTCGTTGCAAGAGGCGTGAACTGTTTACAGCCGTGCGTAACGACGCATGGTTGGTATAAACGATGAGGGGCCTATCTCCTAAAAGATATACCCGAAACTTAGCTAGTGCCTATTTCATGGCGAGGAGTTCCTTGTCTTGCACCGGGTAATTAAGCTCAGCTGCTTGCAGCTGACGAGATTGATAACAGACGACGCGCTCAACTCCGTTTGAGTCGCATTGCATCAACGCGCAGCCGATTGCAAAATCGTTGGCGTCGCAGACCGCATGAGATGGTCTGTCCTGGTCTGCAGTCACCAAGACAGGCGATTGCAATAAGCTTTTATTGATGCCTTTAAAAGAGTGCTGACACTCTGCAGTCCATAACCGCCTTCTATTTTCATTTAACAAACGAGGAGATGTACGGTCATCTCGGCATAGTTGCGCGAGTGTTTGTGCAAGTACGCCGCCTTTTAGCCAAGGAGCTGTCGAAGTCCCTTGACTTCGACTGGCACAGGCCATTCGCTAATCGTCTTGATGGTTTCCGGATCAGGGAGCACACCGTTTTTACCCACGATGCATCCAAGAAGTGGTATTTCGTTAGCTGCGAAGATACACCTCTTGAGATTCGCGAACAACTTATGCTTTCGCATTCATGTAAGAACCTTCCGGACGTGGATTCTATCAACCTTCACGTCCATCTTTCCATCTATAGCCCGGCAATGGACGAAGATATCACCAAAGTAACTCGGTGCGAAATTGCGCACCAATCGCAACAGATTCGTAACACATCTGTTAAACGTTGCTGGGGCGTTACTTAGCCCCTGTAGCATCACTAGCCACTCCCAGAGCACACCGCTGGGGATGAATACTGCTGTGTAAGGGATATCCCGCTCACGCATGAGTATCTGACATAATCTATACGTCAGATCAACGGACGAAAAGATGGTACTCTTTGCCATACCATTTATGCTGACGTCCTTATTCGGTATCGGCGTCCGAGCTGTTACCGTTGCAGTGTTCAATTCTTGATCGCTTGCACTATCCGCCACCATCATGTGGCTTTTCGCACACAGAAGGTCGGAGAGATGTGTAGGGATGTTGATTCCCTCAAATGACCAGCCGCTAAACGATCGGCAAGGAGTTTGCCGATCGCTGTGATCTGTTCACGAGTCAGTGGCCACTTCTTCATGACACAGTATTTCGAACCAGGTTTCAGTTCGATCTCATGCCGAGTGCATTTGTCTTTGGGCAGCTCGCATGGCACGGATTCAAGGAAACATCCCTAAGTTCGAACAATTCTTTAGACAAGGAATTTGTCTGCAAAGACTCCCAAGATAAAGACGTGTATCGCTCAATCCGAGTCTTTTCATCGACGATACTCTCGTCCACAGATGAGCTACTGAGAACCCGTTCGTTCACAGTAAACACCTGTGCCGAACGATTGTCGGCGACATACTCGTCCTATGTGACGAGTACGCAGATATGCTAGGTTTTGTCACTCCGCAGATTTCGCAAGAATATTTTAGTTTCTAGCGATGGAAACTATGATTGGTTTCGAAGATTACTTCGAAGGTGTGACCAGATCAAGTGCATAAGCGCCTACACTTGATCCTTCATTCACCAAGACATTCACTGTCTCGGTGAATTCCTGGGAAAACACCTACGTAGGTGGTTAAGGAAACTCACCCTCAACATTACTCTCTCGGAATTTATCACTCTCACGAACGCTGAAACTTTTTTCCAATATTGTACTGACTGTGAGTGCACTACCACAGTCACGTCTTCTTCGATCGACTCTCTTTTAGTCGATCGGGCTTGCTCTACGATCGACTCTGTGATAGTCGATCTCGCTTTAACGTGTTGTTCATACTGAACAGCACTCATCACACTTCTTGAATACACCTATCTTGGTGTGCATCCGTGTTCCAGTCCACTCGATCTCTTCGAGTGGTGAACCTTCGGCGCAACCTGTGTCTCTACACAGGTGACGGAAGATGGTTCTACAGTTTAGTAGCGTTTTACACTGTGATCTTGTGCAAGCGTACTAACGACCGTACCACAAGTGAGACCATCGCACTCACTCGTAGTACATCCACACGCTTGTAAACGCTACATGACGTTCACCAGATGACCATCTGATAGACAAACGGCAGGCGTCTCCACGGATAGATGCTGCCAGCTGACCCATGGCTCGCATCCTCTGAGCCATGGCAGACCAAGGATGACATCAAATTTGTCATTCAAATCTTTAACGATGAAGCCATCATCGTACTGCTTTCCTTCTAGCGTGTCGTGGATTCCGACTACACGTTTGCGCACTGTTACAGATGCGCCTGTAGCAAGGCACACCGTCATCCTCGGTGAAGGGAACTCTCGCTCAACATAGTTGAGCCTACTATCCTCTAGCGACTGGCGTCGAATAAAACTGTTCGACGCACCACAGTCAACTAGGGTGCGAAGTGACATTCCACTTGTCACTTCGATCTTCAAAGTGATGAGGGACACCTCATCACTAGGGGCAGTAATCCACAGCGACTGTGTGTTGGGAGCAATCTTCGTTAAAAGCCCTGCAAATTCTCTTGACTTTGGTGGATCAGCAGGGTGCTCCGCCCCTACTGACCCTGACCGCTTTTTGGCGGTCCGACTTGCTGTCGCGGTTTAGAGACATGGTCGGATCCACGCCTTGGACCCTTCCTTGGCCAACGGTGGTCATCACGTCCGGTCTTCGAACGTGATGCGGTGATTGGGACACTGCACTCATGAGCGTAGTGTCCAATCTTCTGACAGCGATGACATCTTGCCGTTTGCTTGTGACTTAGAGAGCGAGAGTTCTCGCTCTTGATGTAACATAGGTCCATAGATTCGGGACTTCCTGTTTCCTTTCGTCTCGGTGGACGATAGTTGGACGAGTTAGCCTGAGACTGTCTCAGGCTAAAATCTTCTTGTTCCGCATACGCTATCGCCCTTTCCAGCGTATGGAAGTCCTCTCGGAACATGTAGGTCTCCACCGGCTCATCCACAAGGCCGTAGATGAGCACGTTGATGCGCGTGTGCTCAACAACAGGGTTTCCTGTGACGCTACTCGCAAGGTAGCGCAGGAGCTGTGCGTAGGCGTGCACACCACGCTTACCTTTCTTAAGCCTCAAGAGTGCAGAGCGTGCTCTGAACTCGGCTCTCGGCGGCTCGAACATCTCTTTAAGTCGAGACTCCAAGATCTCCAACGACTCAAACACGTTCGGGTCGTGAAGATTGGGCCCTAAGGCCCAAGTCTTTGCTCGTACCATCAAATTTGACAGGGCGGAGGTTACTTGCATCTCGTCACCCTAGATGGGACGGGACGTGATGGCATCGTCTAACTCGACGAACCATCTCAAAAGAAATCTTCATCGGTTATCTTGTACCTTAAGATTTTAATCTTCAAGGTTTCGGGCGACGCATGTGCTTCGGCCCGCCCATAGACTGATGAGAGCCTTGCTAGTGAGAGCGTTGCTGTTGAAGCAAGGCTATCTTCTGCCTTTCTACAGCAAGTTCTACTTGAAGGAACTTGTTGATAGCGGCATGTTGCTGGTCTCTGCTTAGAGACTCCAACATGCCACTGATGGCGGGTTCGCCCATGTGCACACTCACGCGGCCGACTACCTCCCATTCTGATTCACTCGATGGGAGTAGTCTTCACGTGTGACGTGAAATCTTTCGTCTTCAACGTCCAACATGTTCATGTCGAACGGGCACTAAGTAGTCGTTGGACGGACTACGAAGTGCTACCAGGGGTAACGGGGCACCCTTTGTTTGGGGGTGCCACGAAACTTTACGTACACTAGTACGTGCAGAGGAAGCTAATCTACTTAAAAGACTTGTTTGAGTATAGGTAAAAAGAGAACTGTATTTAGTGTAGTTAAGCTATCAATGTAATTTTTGTCTTTATCTAACATTGTTAAACTACGTCGTCGTGTGACGAAAACCTACTAACCACTCATTGCGCGCGTCTAGCCCCGAATGGTGGCAATCTATGGTTGATATGTCTTATATCAACTAATCTTGGAGCAGCGCATGAATATATCCTACAAGGGGATAAATTCCTTTAAAGTTATCAATCTTGGATAATATCGGTAGAATATTGTCATACTAGACAATATTTCAATTGACACCGTTTGGTGTCAATATCATGTAACGGGCTACCCCGTTGAAGTTTCGCTGTGGTGAGATGCACAATATTCGTGTAAACGTCGGACGCTAGTGCTAGCGAATGAATAATCGCTTAAATCGCGGCGTCACGGCCATCATCATGTACTTCGTTACTATATATCCCGCGGCAGCATGAAAAACACCATGACCGTCGCGATGAACAGTGAGCTCTTCCATTACGGCGAGTAGTGAGCAGTTCAATTACGTTGAGTTGACAATCTAGTCGTCATACCGCGTCTAGTGCGGCTCCGCAAAGCCACATGTATTGCATAACTTTCATGTTCACACAGGGTTTCCGCGCTTGATCCTGCAGACTATTTGCCACATCCGGGTCTTGTCTGTCGTTCTGAAGTTCTGGTCGGGAGTAGTGTGTGTTGTAAGGAAAATATCGACGGTTACAACGGGGCGCCCTGCACCTGCAGTGCACACGCTCAAACAGAAGGTCGCTGCATCGTGAGGTCGAAACGAGAACATCGACACATATTTTTATACTACTTCGTACGGGGACGGTTGTTTCAAAGAGTGGGGTAAAGGAGAGATGTTTATTGAAGGTATACGTAATGCTGAATCTATTGTAAAATGGCATGGATACAATATGACCCAAAATTGGTGGGAATTGTACCCGTAATGCGTCGGAGGTTCTCAAGCATTGGTTGTAATCTTGCCCTCGTTGAATGGAGTTTTGACGGCAGCGAAGCTTGGACTCTTTCCTCGAGAGGAAAGCACAATTCTTTCACCGCCACGGTCTGAAGAAAGAATGATGACTGACACCCTTCCGTCAAGTTTGACGTCTTCAATCATCTCAGAAGTCGCGCGTCTGTAGATAAACGTGAGGATCAACTGGATGCAACCAAGTATGAATCCTGCGATGTTTGGGCCCAAAATGAACTTGTTATCGACCAGCGCAGCGTACGTTGCCCAATTGAAGCTGTTGAAGACATTCACAACTCCCATTGTAAACGGCATTGAAGATGCGGTCTTCGTTCTCAAGACCGTAGCAATGGTTGCCATAGGAGATGTGTACATCCCGACACTCGTTCCAATGGTCATGAACCCCAACGTTGTACTGACCGAATCTTGAGATTGGTTCGTGTATCCGGCTAATGCGAGTACACTATAGAGTGTTACAATGAAGCACACAGTAAAGGATCCGATGAAAGCTTTTACAACAGCACGTTTGTCTGCAGCCCAGCGATAGAAAAAGTAGTTGAAGAAAATACCCGTGACAACTCCCACAATCGCTTGCGCAAATAGTGGCATCATGTTGTTCACAGCTATGGCGTAGAACATGCCGACATAACAATTCGTAAAAAGCAAGAGACACGGCATGACTGACATCTCGCCTGTGCTATGGTTCTTGTGCATTCGTCGAAAGTCCGGTATCAACGAAATGCGTAGCAATAGAGTGGTGGAAAGTGTGAGCACTTCAAACACGTTGACAGCGATCTCGTGGGTACTCATCTGGTAGATGCGTTTGCTGCTAAATAACAAAGGTGGTGTTTGTGGTCTCGAAAGCAAATTCGAATATGTCTGGATCGTGTGCAGGTAGGTCTTCATCATCCGTTTCTAGCTAAAGACAAAAGAACCACGCGATACACGATCAGCGATATTTGAAACGTATACGCTTCAGCATTGTTGCTTCTAGCGGCTCAGTTGCAGACGGAAAGGTGGTGGACAACGCGATGGTTGGTGCTGACCGTTTCGTCCTCCATTTGTTTTGATGGCGTTTCTAGTCAGACAATTACATCCCAAAGTACTTTAAACGGTCGAGGGCATGTCACTGACGATGTCAAGAACATCCTTCTACTCTACATGGCAGGGAATACTCTCGTGCTTGACTTGATAAACTTTGATGGGATCGACTTGTGGAGGACTCCTTACAACCCGCCTGTAGGAACGACGTCCAGCTGCCTACCAGTGTATTTCATGATCTTACCTCTTCTATAGCATTGCGACGAAACTTGTTCGTCTATGGACTACCCACTGAGCTGAAGAAAAAAACAAGCTCCGTGTGACATCGCCGTCTCGAAAAAGCGATAGCGTCATGCAAAGAGCGTTGGTTCATCATGCGTCCGCCTTTGATATAGCTCGTCGATAAATGGAGGAAAGTCTCAGCCGGATCATCGTGCATGAAACCACGAGATTTCAAGAGACAAGTGCGGCATAAAATACCCTGTCGAGATTGAAGGACGTGATGCCGCCCCTTGTGGGAGGCATCGATAACGCTCATCGAGAGCGACACATCGAAGGGTTTGTGGCACTGACGTCAGCCGTTTGTGCGCAATGCAAGTGGCGAGAAAGCCTATCGTCGTGCCTATTGCACTTCGAGACCGAACCGGGTTTCCAAGTAGTTCTCGAGACCCCGTCGATCGTCAACGATACACGGAGAATACGACCTCCGTTCCGTTCCGATACAAACTGCGGTATGCAGTCCGTCTACTACTAGCAGGTATAGTGGTGACTGGATTTTCCTACTACGTTTCCTAGCACTATCAGTTGCAAACCACGAGGTCACATCGTTCATGCCGCTTGCATAGAGGAGCGAGACGCAGCCATCAGTGCAGCGCGCTGACCTCAGTGACACTTAGAAAGTCCATGCAATCGACTCCTCGTTTCGCTTCTCCTGCTACCAACTGAAGTCTAACTGAAGCGTAGCTTAGCCGCGGTAATGATCCTTTTTGCACTTAGCTACTCGTCGTACGACGATGCCAAGCGCCTTGCAACGTTTCTGAAGCACAAGTCGGAGACATGCGGCCACCACTAACCCTGATAACAAAGCAAGACGCTTGTAATGCCTACGAACATGTGCAATGGGTGTCTAATGAGCGGCTCGCCTCGAGACGCACGTGCCAGAAAAGTTGATGGGAGACAGCAAATGCAAGCCAACCAGTCGTTTGGTTGAGCTGTCCAGCTTGATTTTCTTGAGCAGGGCCACATGAGATCCGGTTGTTGTGTGTACGTGTGCGCACGGCTTTTCAGAAGAAGATGCAGAGGCAATCACCACGACGACTGTCGCGTTCAAGGGAACTTGATACCGTTTTGCAGCCGAGCCTTCGAGGTGATGTATTCCCATCAACACGACCACGACGAGCAATTTCTGAGCTCCCTGTTTGCATCGACCATGCCATGAACCGTTACTAGTGCTACAATTATAGGGTCTACAGAGCGACGACAACCCAGCCCAGCCCAGTTTCGCTTTCTGACTTCTGGCTTTCTTAACGATAAAATACATGGTGAAGAATAGGGATCCCGTCACAATGAATATCGCCAGAAATCTACCTGCTCCATGATAGCAGACAAAGCGCACTATATTGTGTGTTAGTCACGACGGTTACTGCATTCTAGGCGACCGAAGCTCGACGAAGTCAACGCTTTTTTCCTCGATGCTCTTCCTATCACGACCGACTCCTTCTCGAGCACACTTGATATTGGAAACCGACAGCGAGAGCTTACCACCCTCCTCGAGTGTAGAATGGCGATGGTCGATCGATAGAGCCTGGTTTGAACGTCCTGCCGTCGCCCACGATGGCGGGTAGATGACATACAAAATCAGCTGAATCAGAGTGAGGATGCAGCCGAAAGCATTCGGGAGCAAGATCCACACATCACCTAGGATGATGGCGTACGTCACCCAGCTCACGCTGTTGCAGAAGCTAACGACGCAGAACGTGAAAGGCATCGACGCCGTTGATTTCGTGCGTAGTATCCTACGGATCGTGGCAAGCGGGGACCCGTACAAACCGATGGATGTGCCAATGGAGATTGCACCCATGGCTGTAGCCATCGAGGACTTGGACTGTCCTGTGACGCCTTCAACGCCCATGGCGCCGTATAGACACAAAAGTACGATAAAGACCATGGCTACAGCACAGGTCTTGTAAACGGATCGTTTGTCGTCGGTGTAGCAGTAGAAGACTGCGATGAATCCGCCGCAGGTAAGAATTCCAACAACGGCAGTCACGACGAGCGGTAGTATGTTCTCTGACAAGTATCCATACCACACAAGCACGACGCAGTTGGTAAAGAATAGCACGACTGGCAGGATCTGCACTTCGCCTGTGCTTTTCGCCTTGTATATGCGATAGAAGTCCGGGTAGGG